GGATAAACACTGGACTGATAACCACAAGACTGGCAGTTCAAACCCAAAAGCTGCTCCTTGAAAACCTCAACAGCAATCAATAACAACAACGTAAGATTTAGTACCCCAAAGTACAGAGAGCTGTCACAGATGCAATTGTAGAAGATGTGTAACTAAACGGGGGCGGGGAGAGGGGGGTCGTTAACCTTTCATCAACAGAGACTCTCAGGATCGTCAAAAAGTTAGACCATGAATGGAGCATTAGATCGTACACAACAAATGGACGGCGGACACTGTGGCAGAGACTATGGTATGGGGAGACAGAGCAGCCGCAGACTCCAGCCGCCTGACTGACAAAGGCTGTGTAACTGCAGGCAGGAGGCTGAATATATACTTTTTGTTTTGTATGTGTACATCCAATATTTTTGCTTTGTTATTTGTGAAAAATAAAATGTAAAAGAAGACACAGGGAGGAAGCAGGGTAACAGTTGTTGCAGAGAGGGGATTATAATTGTTGAGCTGAAACAAAATGCATGGCTGACTGAAAGCAAAGCTGTCTCTTGGTCTGTGGGTAGGTGCCTCATGAGCACGATCATGAGTTCTGGAAGGCCCATTCTCTGTAATGGTATCCATAGCTTGTCAAGGGGTAGGCACACAAATATGTACTAAATATGAGCAAGCGAAAGCTGCTTTTCTCCCTTTCCCTGGTTTCACCGTCTTAGTTTCTCCTCTTGTCTCCTGTTAGTTATCCAATTCAAGCAGCTATGAGCCAACACCAAATTCCCCTTGCACAAATATACGAAGAACATTTACACGGGGCTAAGTCTATTTAAATTTCCAGGGCTCTGATGCACTCTCCCCTAATTGGGATGTGTTTATATTCTGTTTTCTTATTTCTTTCTACCTACTAAAAGACTGCTAACAAATTTCATAGTACCCTCTTCCTGTACAGTACCCTTTACCCTTCCACTGCATCCAGATTTCTTATTTCCATGAAACAAGCAGAGGACATGCTCTCATATGCCTCACGACTCTCTGAAGGAGATTCTACAAACTTTCAGTAGTGACATAAAGAAAGCTTTACATTTCTAAGATATTACAGGAACTGGAGAAAACCAAGACCTACTGGTATAGTGCTATAGGAGCAGCTGCTTGGTTGGTTGGTTATGTGCCATGGAGCCGGTTCCGACTCATAGCGACCCTGAACAGGGTTTCTGAGGCTGTAAATCTTTACAGGAGCAGAAAGCCTCAGCTTTCTCCCACAGAACAGCTGGTAGTTTCGAACTGCTGAACTTGTGGTTCGCAGCCTGATTTGTAACCACTATGCTACCAGAGCTCCTTGTACTGGGACTGCAAACCACATGGTCATCAGTTCAAACCTACCAGCTGTTTCTCAGAAACCCTAAACTGGGTTTCTATGAGTCAGACCCAATTCGACGGTACTTAACAACAACTACTCAGTAAACCAAGGACTCGGATTTTAACTTTCATCTGTCTCAAAGTCTTAGCAAGAGGAAATTTCTTTTACTTACACTAAACTGAGTGATTTTCAACATATTTTAAATAACAAAATTGCTATGATAGACACCATGGACCTTGAGATGAGAGAGAGACGAGGAAGGGCTGGTTAGTCCAAAGTTTGGGGAGACTTAGGAACACTGACCTAGCCACTGGGGGGGTTAGGGCTGAGAGTGAAGCGGCCAGCTGGTCTGAAGTGGGAGCAGCCAAGCAAGAACACCCAAACTTTTAGACAGTACCCATTTGGACCTAACTTGTATGGCTTGCTGATCAGAACTCGACTAGAGGAAGATACAGAAGCTTGATACAGGAATCAAGTGTAAATTGCTACAATTTGATGACCTTTGCTTACAGATGTAGTAGCTCAAAATTCCAACCGAGAGGGAAGGACTCTTCACAGAAAGCATCAAGTCTTTTCCCTCAATACACAGTGTTCATCTGAATGGGCAAGTTAGACATTGTCTACCAAAACTGGGGGGCTATAAGGGCACAAGGAGTCCTGGGGTGGCGCTGTGGGCTAATGCGTCAGACTGCAAAGTCATCTGAACTTCAAGGTCGGTGGTTCAAGCTCACCAGCTGCTCCTTGGAAACCCTATACAGGGTCGCTGTGAGTCAGAATTGACTTGATGGCACTTAACAACAACAACAAAGGTACAAAGTGGCTGGCTTACAAGTTTTCAAGAGTGTGCTTAGTTTCATTGAGGGGGGGTAGGGTAGAATCCCCACTGAATAGTTTTCATATTGTCTAGCTGGGTCTGGTGAAAGGGGGTGGCAATAGGATTCTTTTGATTCACTAGTTAGTAATTGTTATTATAACTAATTGTGACTGTCACAACTGTAAAGGTAGAAGATATGAAACCAACAGGGAGCTAGACCCTAGGACTATCAAGAGAGAAGGGCATGAGAGGAACGTGGGCTCCTAACCAGAGAAGCAGCAACACTAGAGACAGAGCAGAGGTGATGGGATAGACAGAGAGCTGCAGAGGACCAGACTTATGGAATGAGAAAGACTGTGTGCTGGCAGGCAGGAGACCTGAAACACTGACCTTCTTCATTCATCTAAGTTCATAGTAAAACGATCTCAGGAATGTATCGTTTTACACTTTTTACCTGGTAGCATGCCTATTACTCAGATTCTATAGAAAGGTTGAAGTTGAGGGAGCCAGAATGACTAAAAAGACCCCCCC